GAAGATGCTCTTCCCTTTCTTTGTTAGATCGAGCCCGTCTCTGCCCAGCACTCCTTCTTGGAACACCATAGAATCATAGAATATCAGAGTTGGAAGGGACCTCAGGAAGTCATCTAGTCCAACCCCCTGCTCAAAGCAGGACCAATCCCCAACTAAATCATTCCAGCCAGGGCTTTGTCAAGCCTGACCTTAAAAACTTCTAAGGAAGGAGATCATCAGTCTAGATCCATCCTCTTTGGAACCCCCTTTCAGGTAGTTGAAAGCAGCTATCAAATCCCCCCTCATTCTTCTCTTCCATAGACTAAACAATCCCAGTTCCCTCAGCCTCTCCTCAGAAGTCATGTGTTCCAGACCCCTAATCATTTTTGTTGCCCTTCGCTGGACTCTCTCCAATTTTTCCACATCCTTCTTGTAGTGTGGGGCTCAAAACTGGACACAGTACTCCAGATGAGGTCTCACCAATGTCGAATAGAGGGGAACGAGCACGTCCCTCCATCTGCTGGCAATGCCCCTACATATACATCCCAAAATGCCATTGGCCTTCTTGGCAACAAGGGCACACTGTTGACTCATATCCAGCTTCTCGTCCACTGTCACCCCTAGGTCCTTTTCTGCAGAACTGCTGCCGAGCCATTCGGTCCCTAGTCTGTAGCAATGCATGGGATTCTTCTGTTCTAAGTGCAGGACTCTGCACTTGTCCTTGTTGAACCTCCTCAAATTTCTTTTGGCCCAATCCTCCAATTTGTCTAGGTCCCTCTGTATCCTATCCCTACCCTCCAGCATGTCTACCTCTCCTCCCAGTTTAGTGTCAGATTGGATGTTTCTCTGAAAGATCTGCTCTAGTTCAGCCAGGAAACAATTCAGGGCAGCTTTATGTCTGTGTTATAGGAGGTCAGACTGGATGATCTGGCTTAGGATCTATGAAATACAAAAATAATAAAGCAAATAAAAAAACACTCAAAATAAATCTTCTTAACAATTAACGTGTCCACTTACCCACTAGGTGGCAGAGATGAACTGAGGGAAGAGATATACTGATTTGATTCTGTTGCTCAGTACGTTGAAATAGAATGAGGTAAGTGCCAAGATCCCTTAAAATACTCCAGTGTTTACCCATATAGATACATCAAATGTTTAGACACATGCCCAACTCTGCTAAGCCACCGATTTCGCCCGATCCATCGCTAACACAGATTTTATTATATAATTCTGAGCTTGCTAGTCTTCAAATACGTCTAATGAAGTAAGCTCGAAACAGTGAAGGAATCCGTTCTATTGCACAAAAGTAAAACTTTAAGCAAATATTTGGGGTGCTTATATAGACAGCGAAATAAGATTCAAAATAGAAATGTGTGCGCATTCCAAAAAATACACACATACATAAGAACGGTCAGACTGGGTCAGATCAATTGTCCATCTAGCTCAGTATCCTGTCTTCCAACAGTGACCAACAGCAGATGCTTCAGAGGGATTGCTACTGGGAAATCATCATGCTTGAGAAATATGACTGGTATGGCTTAAAGGAGTTTATTTTTGAGTTTGAGATTCACTGAGTTTTGAGGAAACTCAGCCAAAGTTATCAAGTTACAAGTCGTTTAAGAGCTGGGTGGGAAATGGCTTTTTTGTCCTGTGAACATCTGGGAAAGTTTGGAAATTTTTCCAGTCCCAAATCAGGAGGAGAACACAAAAATTTGAATATTTTCACAAACTGAAAATTCCCCCCCATCCCCCAAATTTAGTTAAGGTCAATCAAAACATTTTGTGTCAGTCATTTTCAAATGTTTCATGTCTATTCAACCATACTGGGTGTTTTAAATATTTGCTTTCTAATTAGCTAAACATTTCAAAATAAAAAAAAATCATTTCAAAGTGGAAAAAACACAATTTTTGGTTTTGAAACATTCAGAATTTTTCAAAAATGTTTCACATCGAGAAATGTGTCCAAACCGAGCCTTTCCCACAAAATTTTGGTTCTGACATTTTTCAACAAAGAAACATCACGTGGAAACATTTCTCACTGGCTCTCATGGTTTTGCTTGGAAACCATGCAAAAAACCCTGAGTGTTGTAGTTTCCACCCTAAATTGTAAGTATCCCCAAACTCTGGGGGTAATTGATATGAATGGGAAAGTTCCCCCATCTCAGAGCAATTGGCTCAGGCTCTCTGCAGACTCAGGAAGCATTGCTGCATCGATTACACTCAGGGCCGCTCCCCCCTTCTAAAACTTTAGCACTAAACTCCCTGAAATCTTGGCTCTGATACTAACTGAGCCCAGAAACACAGCACGATTCAAGAAAGGATTGGACATTCATATAGATATGAATATCCAGAGTTCCAAAGTTGATTAGCATTCACTATTGTAAGGGATCTTACTCCTCATGCTTCCAGATTTAAACCAATCTCTCCCTAAAGGGATCAGAAGGGGACGTGAGGGACAGATTATGTCACTTCTGTCTACGCTGGGGTTCTTCCACCTTCCTCACAAGAACCTGAGGTGACATGCTGGTCTAGATCCAGTATGGCATAGTCTATGCTTTCCTAGTTAACCCTTGCATTGCAGCTCCCAGGTACCTCCATATTACAGATGGGGAAATCTGAAACCGAGGCAAAAGGTCAACATTTTGGGTGCCCAAAACCAGGCACACATGTGCACAACTAGCCCCATAGACAACTGGTCTGGTGTTCAGAGGCCGGTAGCTTCCATAGACTTCTGCTTACCGGGCCTAAATATGGATTTGAGGGTCTATCTTTAGACACGAAAATTTGGGCCTAAAGGCTACAGAGAGATAGCAAGAGCTGGGAGTTGCTGTGTTGATGGAAAGAGGCCATAAAGACGACCCTTACCAAAATACCTTCCACTTACCATAGAATCATAGAATATCAGGCTTGGAAGGGATCTCAGGAGGTATCTAGTCCAACTCCCTGCTCAAAGCAGGACCTAATCCCCAGCTAAATCATCCCAGCCAGGGCTTTGTCAAGCCTGACCGTAAAAACCTCAAAGGAAGGAGATTCCACCACCTCCCTAGGTAACGCATTCCAGTGCTTCACCACCCTCCTAGTGAAAAAGTTTTTCTAATATCCAACCTAAACCTCCCAGCTACATGCTACCCTCCAGGCAGCCCCTGATGAAAGGGGTAGGAGCGGGCACACCTGGCTATTCTTAGATACTAGGCAGGTGGGAGAAGTTTGTTAAATCTGTCATTCCTCTCCCTTTGAAACATCCTTCACACTCATTAACACACAGCGTTTCTATTTATCTGCCTGTGCTCAAATACTTATTTACTCCTGGTTCAAAGGCTGCCCAAGATGATCTGAAATAGCCCAAATAACGCGACTCTCCGGGTATGCTGAAAACGACCTTTGTTGGACAGGCTCTCTAGAGATGGCTTCCTAGACGAAGGGTAGCTGGCCAGCCGAGATCCTGTGAAGCAATGATTTTAACACCGCTCAGATTTAATTTAATTATATGATTAATGATGCTAGGGTGCATCAGAGCGTCAGAAAGGCATCTTTCTGATTTGAAATCTAAAAAAATAAATATAGCCCAGAAACTGGGCTGGGGGCTTCCCACCCAGCGTGTTATACAAGATAGGACTACAAGGGTCCCTCTTGGTGTTATAATCTATGCATCCATGTTAGAACGACAAGGGACCCGAGAGATGGAATTATTGTGGCTGGCTCGCAGCTCCGTTTCCCTCTGCTTAGCCTCGGAGAGCTGAAATCCAACCACATCTGACCTAGTTACACTGCTCTTTTATGCACGTACCTCTTTTATGCCTGTCACACAGCACTGCACGGGAGGATTTTAATAGCTTCGCTGAGGCTGTTCTTTCTGCTCAACTCCCATCCCTTCTAACACCTCTCTCTCAACCAGGGACAGCTGGCCAAACTTTGAGCACAAGGCACTTTTGAACACCTTAGAAGCGACTTTTCAGGAACCTAAGTCTCACTGAAAGTCAGTGAAATGTAGGCTCAAATCTTTAAAGCGATTTAAATTCCTAACTCATCAGTGGAAGTTAGAACACCGAATCTTGATTTAAAAAATGGTCAGTGAGAGAATCCTCCACGGCCCCTGGTAAGTTGCTCCTATGGTTAACTGCTCTGTTAAAATGTTATGCCTTATTTCCACTCTGAATTTGTCTAGCTTCAATTTCCAGCCATAGGAACATGTTGTTCGACCTTTCTCTACTAGATTGAAGAACCCATTATTAAATATTGGTTCCCCGACTGATCAAGTCACCCCTAGTCCTTCTCTTTCTTAAATTACCTCGATTGAGCTCCTTGAATCTCTCACTCTAAGGCAGGTTTTTGAATCCTGTAATCATTCTCATGGGTCTTCTCTGAACCTTCTCCAATTTATCAACATCCCTTCCTGAATTGTGGACACCAGACCTGGACTCAGCATTCCAGCAGCAGTCACACCCATGCCAAATGCAGAGGTAAAACCATCTCTCTGCTCCTACTCATGCTTCTCCTGTTTATGCATCCAAGCACTGCATTAGCCCTTCTGGTCACAGAGTTGCATTGGGAACTCATGGTTCACCTGATTATATACCACACGCCCCATATATATATATTTTTTCTCCTCAGTCATTGCTTTCCAGAATAGTCCCCCCCCTCATGTAAATATATAGCCTCCATACTTTGTTCAGAAAACAGCCTCCTCTGTTAGGAACGTGGGCGAAATGCAGCCAACCGGCCTGAGGCCCTTCTGTAGGAGACGTCACCTTACGAAGCAAGCAGGTCCAGGCATGAAAAATCTCCAAGAGAAGCTAGAGAAGCAGTGGTTTCTTCCCTTGAGCTGGAAGGCAAAGGCCAGAGAGGGTGACATTTCAAGGGACTCTCCCTGGTTTGGAGCCTTTATGACAAGATAGCTTTGTGTGCTGTTTGGATGGTTTTTGTGGTCCCAGCTGGTCTTGGAGTCTATGAATCTAACCTCATGCTTCAGGGCTTTAGCCTGTCACCTGCAAGGGCCAAGAAGGGACTTTTTCCCCCACCCAATGTGTGTTTCCAATCTCCCCTGCCCACCAAGTAGTGTTATTGTGCATTTGATCACTGCAGTGCCAGTAGTCAGGTGCTCGGGAATCCCTGTCATATCTGGCCATGGAAAGCAAGGAGTGACAGTGCGGGCCAAGGCCAAGTCTCACTCTTCTCGTGTCGGACTGCAGTTCCCAGTCGGGTGGGTGCACCGGCTGCTGCGCAAGGGGAACTATGAGGAGCGAGTGGGAGCTGGAGCCCCGGTGTACCTGGCCGCTGTGATGGAGTATCTGACCGCTGAGATCTTGCAGCTGGCTGGCAACGCTGCCTGGGATAACAAGAAAACCCGCATCATCCCTCGGCACTTGCACTTGGCCGTGCAGAACGACAAGGAGCTGAACAAGTTGCTGAGGGGAGTCACCATTGCACAGGGTGAGGTCCTGCCCAACATCCAGGCAGTGCTGCTGCCCAAGAAAACCAAGAGCCACAAAGCGAAGGGCAAGTGAGAGCGGATGCCACCCCCCCCCCAAGACCACCACCTTCCTCTGAAAGATCAACAATTGGCCACAGCAGGAGACGGGACAGTGCTCTGAGCTTGTCCATAGAATCCTCTCTCTGGATGCCTGGCTGCTGTGTCTTGCTCACATGTGGGTCCGATTAATAAACAGATTTGGGGATGGGAAGGCATTTCCTTACAGATCAAATAGGCAGGGACTTTGTATGTGTGTGGGGGGGTTGGGGGGACACAGGGAATTTATCTTCCTCTGCAGCATGGGGCATGCATCACCTACTCAATTCCCTGCCATTGCAGGGGACCTAGGCGTGGCACCTGGCTTTCTCCTGTTCTCTGCCAGTTTAGCATCCTGAGGGCGGATGTGCTTTGGTCTAACTGAAATCATCGGGCTCAACATAGCACTATCTGGGTGAAACTGACTAGCCCGTGCTTCACAGAAGGTCAGACGAGATGATCTGACAGCCCCTTATAACATTCATAAACCAGTCGGAGAACACTTCAATCTCTCTGGTCACGCAATCACAGACATGAAGGTCGCTATCTTAAAACAAAAAAACTTCAAATCCAGACTCCAGCGAGAAACTGCTGAATTGGAATTCATTTGCAAATTGGACACTATTAATTTAGGCTTAAATAGAGACTGGGAGTGGCTAAGTCATTATGCAAGGTAGCCTATGTCCCCTTGTTTTTTCCTACCCCCCCCCCAGACATTCTGGTTAAACTTGGATTTAAACTTGGAGAGTGGTCAGTTTGGATGAGCTATTGCCAGCAGGAGAGTGAGTTTGTGTGTGTGTGTGTGTGTGTGTGTCCCTCGGGGGCGGGGGGGGGGAAGGGTGAGAGAGCCTGGATTTGTGCTGGACATGGCCCACCTTGATTACCATGCACATTGTAGGGAGAGTGGTCACTTTGGATGAGCTATTACCAGCAGGAGAGTGAGTTTGTGTGTGTATGGGGGTGGGGGGGATGTGAGAAAACCTGGATTTGTGCTGGAAATGGCCCACCTTGATTATCATGCACATTGTAGGGAGAGTGGTCACTTTGGATGAGCTATTACCAGCAGGATAGTGAGTTTATGTGTGTGGTTTTTGGGAGGGGGGTGAGGGGGTGAGAACCTGGATTTGTGCAGGAAATGGCCCAACTTGATTATCATGCACATTGTGTAAAGAGTTGTCACTTTGGATGGGCTATCACCAGCAGGAGAGTGAGTTTGTGGGGCGGGGCGGAGGGTGAGAAAACCTGGATTTCTGCTGGAAATGGCCCAACCTGATGATCACTTTAGATAAGCTATTACCAGCAGGACAGTGGGGTGGGAGGAGGTATTGTTTCATATTCTCTGTGTGTATATAAAGTCTGCTGCAGTTTCCACGGCATGCATCCGATGAAGTGAGCTGTAGCTCACGAAAGCTCATGCTCAAATAAATTGGTTAGTCTCTAAGGTGCCACAAGTACTCCTTTTCTTTTTGCGAATACAGACTAACACAGCTGTTACTCTGAAACCTTCTTTGGAGAAGAGCACAGATGGAAAAAATCCACTTCACTAGCTCCCCAAACTGGGTCGTTCTTAAAAAAAGGAAATTCCACCCACCTCTGTTTATTTTTACTCTAGATTTGTTTCCTTTCAGGCACAAAGCGCAAACAATCACAGTCAATTAAGAGCCACAGAGTCCCATTAGCCAGACAGGGAGTCTCCAGGGACTGGCCATGTTCCAATCTGCCTGGCTGGTGTGCCTCATTTTCTCCTTATTTACTGCCACCAAAGAAACTCTACTCAAGGCTCAGTGTCACACCCTAGGTGACAAAGGACAAGAGCACGTCTGGGAGGGTGTAGGTGAGTGAGGCAAGGGCTTCTTCGTGATCTGAAAGTCACATGCCATGAGATCATTTTAAGATCAGAGTAAGCACGAGTCAGCAGAGCTGCTAGGTAGGAAGGAGGTCAAGATGAACTGGGTTTGCCCGGGATTATGTATGGCTAGTTACTGTAGATGCCAAACAAATCAAGGTTGGATGTTTTTCTAAGAGATTCTTCTCTAGTTTAAACAGGAGATAATTCAGGGAAGTTCTCTGGCCTGTGTTATGCAGATCAGACTAGATGATCACAGGGAGCTTAGAATCTATTAAATTTTAAATAATAAACAGCTGGTGCTTAATGAGAATTGTTAGTCACCAAAGTCTTAGTCATATCCTCTCCCCTAGGCCAGGCACAGATACGTAGTTCCAGCGTGTGGCTCTAATCTCAGGTGATGGTGCAGCCAAATCCACGTGGAGTTTACAGGGCCCATTTTAAAGAGCTGTCAGTGGTGGGAAATGAAAACCTGAAGTCCTGAGTAGGGGATAAAATTGAGACACACCGTCAGAACATGGGTGCAGAGAACAATCAGATGGGCTCAAGGAGTGGGGAAGAAAGAGCAGAGGCAGCTGTGAGTGCTAAAGACAGTTTCTGAGCCACCTAGATAAGAGTGTTGGGTCTATGGAGTGAAGAGAAGCTGCACACAGTGTCTTAAGACTACACAGAAATAGGAGCAGGCCACATGGTAACTAGAATGACTCTTCTAGGAGGTTGTTTTAACAGGGGCTAGTGGCAGAGACATGCCACAAACCAGTGACAGCATCCTTCACATTTGAGGTTATGCACTATTCAGGATAAGGAAGGACCCTCGCTCTGCAACAGGGCTTAAAAAATAACCCCCTCGTGCTCTAAGCATTAGAGACCGTTCTCTAAGCCAGTCCTGACTCCCTGTCCTGATTATTGGACCTCCCTCCCTCCCAAGTAACAGCAATGGGTCTTACTGATGATACTGTCCCCAGGCACCACCTTCCTGTTGGAAAGGAGATCAAGGCAACCAAATAAGCGTTGACATTTCAGGTTTTATTAAAATTAAATATAAGTTACAATAGTTAAATATTAAAGACAACAGATACACACATTCCCTATTTCAAACTCTTCAATATTTAAATTCATTTCACAGAAATGCTACAATAGCAGAGAGCACCAAGAAGCCAGCCTCTTCAGCGAGAAATGCATGGGGACGTCTGAAACCTTCGCCTCATGCAACAGTTTCACATGCAGCGCTCCGAAACTGGGGCCAGACAGGAATTCTGCCTCCAGATTGGGCTGCTAACTTGCCCAATGGTAAAGGATAAGGGTTGGCAGATAATTTGGCAACACCACCACAGCAATAGGCTTTTCATTGGGATTCGCAGAGAAAGAGGTCATGGGTTTGAGGGGTATTTTTAACTAGTTCGTTAGCACACAGACTTAATCTTGCGGTCTGAATCAGTTAATACTCGAGGCTCAGAGTTTGCCCATATGGGACTTTCCACCAGATATTTACCGTATCTGCTGGTAGGTGGGTCAGTGGCATCGCTGGCATTTTATACGGCAGAGAGGGGTGGAGAGTGGGAGAGCCGGACACGCAAGGCATTTCAGGGGCTGTAGATGTCAGGACCAGACAAGTTGTTGGGATGCCAGCCTCCAAACTGATCAGCCGCCAGGCCTCATGGCGACAGACAGTCAGATTTCTGCGGCTGATTTGACCCAACAGCCCCCGTCAAGTCTCCCTGCTTGCAACAGAGATGAGCAGTGACAGGTCAATGCCGCAAGCAATCGCGCCAGTCGCTGGTGCCTCGGGAATCTCTCTCCGCAGGTTAATGAGAACCAGGAACTCTAGCTCCAGTGCTATGGTTGAGTCCCATAGAGCTGATGGAGTCTAATGAGATCAGACAGTTTGTCAGTAACTACCTGCCTGGAGGAGAAGCTAGCCAGCACTGCTGGGGGAGGGGGAGAGAAAGAGCTGGTTTCTCCCAAGAGTCTTCTAAGCCTTTTGACGAGCAGCCAGCCCCAACTCTTGTGGCTAGCCCTTGGAGCCTCACATGATGTAGCAGTTCATGAGGGCGAGATCCTTCATCTCTGGACAATAGGCTGCGGGAGAGAGTCACAGAGCCGTGAGTGCAGGCAGAGACCTAACCACACAAGTGATAACGCTCCCCGGCCCACGCAACCCAGCCTGGCAAATATTTACCACTGAAACGCCTCTGCTCGAGGATTTCCTGCCCCCATGTTAGAGAGCGGGAACTGAGCAGAAAGGCGGGACGGGTCCTGATGATGCCCGACCTCCTGCCCCACCTACCTCCCAGAGCGTGCCGCCGCCCCCCCCACTCTAACCTACCAGACCCCAGTTCCCCCCCAGAGTGAGAGATGGAACCCAGGAGTCCCGGCTCCCAGCCCCCACCCCATTCTAATCACTAGACCCTACTCTCCCCATGGCCAGGGGGTGACGTCACCCCCCATAAGAGATGACATCACCAAGGAGGGGGATGACATCACCCACCCACCTAGGGGTGAGGGGGCACGTGCCACGGTGGGGGTGAGTTTACATCACCCCCCCCCATGGTGGGCACGCTAAGGGGGGAGGGAGGGAGTGACTTGACAGCACCCCCCCCAGACCCCTAGGGGTGGAGCGCTAGCTGAAGGGGGGAGTTGACTTGACCTCCTCCCCCCCCTCCCATTGGCCACGTTGAGGCCAGGCTCCTACCCCTCAGAGCCAAAGTGGGAAGGACCCGGATGTACGTGGCCCAGGCTCTGCGCCCTCCTCAGGCACGTGCGGCCCCGCCCTTCGGGCGGGCAGCGCGCGCCCGAACCGTTGACGGGGAACGGGGAGGGGTGCGGGGGGGAAGGAGCGGGCGCGAGGGCAGATACTTACGGTTGATTGGCTGCCGCTCCCGCGCGCTACTGCGGCTGCCGCCCCCTCGCAGGAGCTTCATCAGCGCCCGCCACAGCCGCGATTGGCCCGCCTCCTCCGGCACGTCATTGCCAGGCACCGCCTCCTCCTCCTCCTCCTCCCCCGCCTCCTCTTCCCGCCGGCCAATCCGCTTCCAGAGCTCGGGGTCGACGGGGGGCAGGGCCAGGCGGCGCCGGCTGCTGCTGCTGCTCCTGCTCCGCCTCCTCGTCCCCGCCTCCCAGCCCCTGCCGCGCACGCGCAGCGAGGTGGGGGTGCGGCAGAAGGGGCACGTGACCGCCTCCCAGCTCTGGTCGCGCGCCAGGCGGCAGAGGCAAGCGGTGCAGAGCGCGTGGTGGCAGGGGGCGGGGCGGCGCCAAGCGCCGTGCGCGGGCCCGAGGCGGCGCGGGGCGCGCGCCCGGCGGTCGTAGGGCAGGTAGCAGATGCCGCACTCCAGCTCGGCGGCGCCGCTCTCCGCGTTCGCGTCCATGGCTCGCGTGTCCGCTGGCGGCCGCCGTACCCGAGGGCGGAAGGGGCCGCGCGCACGCGCACAAACTTGTTCTCTCGCCTAACGGCTTCCTCCCCCGCGGGCCGGCGGCGGATATATAGCCGGCCTGGCCACGCCCCCGGCCTGGGGGGCGGGGCGCGCCCGCGGCCAAACCCCGCCCCTTCCCGGACCCGCAGCGCGGGGGAGCCCCGGACTCCTGGGTTCTCGGGCGGGGGGGGAATGGGAGCCCCGGACTCCTGGGTTCTCTGCGTGGGGGGATGGGAGCCCCGGACTCCTGGGTTCTCTGCGTGGGGGGGATGGGAGCCCCGGACTCCTGGGTTCTCTGCGTGGGGGGATGGGAGCCCCGGACTCCTGGGTTCTCTGCGTGGGGGGATGGGAGCCCCGGACTCCTGGGTTCTCTGCGTGGGGGATGGGAGCCCCGGACGCCTGGGTTCTCGGGGGAGCCTGGATTC